CCCCCACAATGCTTATCCTTCTCCCCGTATTGCCTGCCTCCCCCGCCGCCGTCTCCCCACTGGCCTGTCCTCTCTATCCTCTCCCCTCCTGGCACGGTGAACTGCTGCTGGCTCCCCCCTTTCCACCTTCCCCAGGTGGACCTCGCCATGGTGTGTTTCCTCTTTGGGTTGCCATGGCTACCCAGAATGCCTCCTGAACCTACCGCTTATTGGGGGAGGGGGGTTGTCTGCGGGTTGCTCTTACTGTTCGGGTGTTTTTAAACCTCCCTCCCTTTGTTGTTTGCTTGTCTTGTTTCCTAACAAACCAGAGTCTCCTGCAAACCCCGGCCTTTTCTCCAGGTCTACAGAGCCGTGACCTGATGCCTCTGCTGGTCCTGGCGTGCAGACTCCTTGTTCTGCGCAGGAGCTGGCCTTTGGCAGTGGGTCAGGAGGGCTACATGGCGGAGAAGAGCCGCCTGGGCCCCCGAGGAGGACGCAGTCTGGGGGGGGGGAGGGAAGAGGGGCCAAGCAGTGCTCCCTCTAAGCTGTGGAGTCCTGTGAGCAAAAATTCTACTTTGTGAGCTACCGGCATAGAAGCTGTGGAGCAAGTGATTTGGCTACTGCATCAATTAGTTTGCTCTGGAGCCCTCCTTCCTGAGCGAACACAAAAGTGTGTGAGCCGGAGGCTAAAAAACTGTGAGCTAGCTCACACTGTCTCAGCTTAGAGGGAACACTGGCCAATATTCCCTCTAAACTGTGGAGTCTTGTGTGCAAAAATTCTACTTTGTGAGCTCCTGGCATTAAAGTTTTGAGCGAGCCGTTGGGCTGCTGCATCAATTAATCCGCTCTGGAGTCCTCCTTCCTGAGCAAAGACAAAAATGTGTGAGCCGGAGGCTAAAAAACTGTGAGCTAGCTCACACTGTCTCAGCTTAGAGGGAACACTGCTCTGGAGCCCTCCTTCCTGGGCTGAGACAAAAATGTGTAAGCCGCGGGCTAAAAGACTGAGCTAGTTCGCATTCCCTCAGCTTAGAGGGAACACTGGTGCCAAGCACTGTGAGACCCACATCGCCAACCCTCCTGCCTCCTCTGTGTGAGTGGGAGCCCCTCTGCCCACCTGCTTGGCCAGCCCTGGTTCTCAGCCTCTTGTGAAGCTTGCCGGCTGTGAGAACATAAGAACATAAGAGATGCCAATGCTGGATCAGGCCAAAGGCCCATCCAGTCCAACACTCTGTGTCACACAGTGGCCAGAAATACCCGGTGCCCTCAGGAGGTCCAGCAGTGGGGCCAGGACACTAGAAGCCCTCCCACTGCTGCCCCCCGCCAAGCACCAATGATACAGAGCATCCCTTGACCCAGACCGAGAGTCCCTATCTATACCTTGTGGCTAATAGCCACTGATGGACCTCTGCTCCATATGCTTATCTAATTCCCTGTTGAAGCCGTCCATGCTTGTAGCCGCCACCACTTCCTGTGGCAGTGAATTCCAAGTGTTAATCACTCTTTGTGTGAAGGAGGACTTCCTTTTATCCGTTCTAACCCGACCGCTCAGCAATTTCATGGAGTGCCCACAAGGAGCTCTTGTCTGGTGAGAAAGGGAGAATTGTGAGCCGTGTGGGTGGGGATCCTCACTGGATTGCCCGTCCAGTTCCTGTGTGCAGGGAACTCTCCCTTCTGCCCTCCCTGCAGGTCGTGCTGGAGGAGCGGCAGAGCCCGCAGGACGGTGAGCGTGTGGCCCGGCACCTGATGGCGGAACTGGGCGTCAGCCAAGAGGACCTGCTCACCGGGGCCTACCTGGACCTGCTGGCTGGAGAGGCCCCTCATCCGTGAGGCCGGGCCGTCCAGGTGCACTCGGAGGCCGTGCTACCTCTAACCAGGGGGGGCCACACTGCAGCGCGGGAGCCGCATGCGGCTCTTTCACACAGTCTGATATCATGTTAATAGAAAGCAAATTTGCATGTTTTTTCAATAAAAACGTGTGTGTGATATTTGTTCATGTCTTGCGACTTTCAAACATCTGATGTTTATTCTGTGTGGCTGTTATGTTAAGCAGGTTTGGCTACCCCTGCTCTAAGCTGTGGCGTCTTGTGAGCAAAAGTTCTACTTTGCGAGCTACCTGTTTGGTGTTGTGGTTAAGTGCGCGGGCTCTCATCTGGGAGAACCAGGTTTGATTCCCCACTCCTCCTCCACTTGCACCTGGCTGGCTGGCCTTGGGCAAGCCATAGTTCTGATAAGAGCTGTTCTTGAAAAAGAGCCTTTTCTGTCAAGAGCTCTCTCAGCCCCACCTACCTCCCAGGGTGTCTGTTGTGGGGAGGGGAAGGGAAAGGAGTTTGTAAGCCACTCTGAGTCTCCCTTGGGTAGTGAAGGGCGGGGTATAAATCCAATCTCTTCTTCTATCTATCCATCTAGAGCCAGTTTGGTGTAGTGGGTTAAGTGTGCAGACTCTAATCTGGGAGAACTGGGTTTGATTCCCCACTCCTCCACTTGCACTTGGCTGGATGACCTCGGGCAAGCTGTAGTTCTGATAAGAGCTGTTCTTGAAAAAAAGCAGTTTCTGTCGAGCTCTCTCAGCCCCACCCACCTCACAGGGTGTCTGTTGTGGGGAGGGGAAGGGAAAGGAATTTGTAAGCGGCTCTGTGACACCTTCGGTCTCTTCTTCTACCGGCATTAAAGTTGCGGGTGAGCGATTTAGCTACTGCATGAATTAGCTTGCTCTGGAGCCCTCCTTCCTGAGCTGAGACAAAGCTCTGTGAGCTGGTGGCCAAAAAACTGTGAGCAAGCTCGCACTAGCCCAGCTTAGAGGGAACACTGCTTAGAGGCCTTCTTCTTGAGTGGCTCTCTGTTTTAAGTGAGGGACTAAAGCATCAACACAAACATGGGGGGGGGGTTGTCTCCAGATTTCAGGGGGGCTGAGACTCACTCACACCCAGGCTGAATACACACGGTGGTCTTTGGAGAAGACGACGACGTGGCCAAAGGATGTTTCAGAGCAGGCTGCTTTCCCTTAAGGGTGCAGGCTTTCATTTGCACCCGCTGGGAGTGGATCTGAATGCTCCCTCTTCAGGGGTGGAGCTTGCCTGGAAGAGCTTCCCTGGGGCTTGTCCCCATTGCTCCCTGCCTACACCGCTGGGCCACCCTCCTTTCTCTTTGGTTATAGAATCATAGAATGTTAGCATTGGAACTGGGACCTTGCAGGCCATCTAGTCCAACCCCCTGCACTCTGCAGGAGCAGAGCCAAAAGAGAGCCCTACAACATACCCGAAAGATGGTCGTACAGCCTCCGCTTGGAAAACGCCCAGCGGAGGGGCCCCCCCCCCCTCCCGAGGCAGTCTGTTCCACTGCTCAACCACTCTGACAGTTAGGAAGTTTCTCCTGATATTTAGCCGGTAACGACTCCCTTGTAATTTCCACCCGTTCGATCTAGTCTTGCAATCCGGAGCAAGAGAGAATAGATCTGCTCCATCTTCTACATGCCAGCCCTTCAAATACTTGAAGACGGCAATCCTGTCCCCTCTAAGCCTTCTCTTTCCCAGGCTAAACATACCTGCTACAGATCGGCAGCCTGGAGCCCCTTGAAGAGGGGAAAGGCTTAGGTCAAGATGCCAGTGCATGCAAATAAGCGACCTGCTGGCCTGGCTGGCTTTTTCAGGGCAGCTGCTCGCCAGGTGCCAGGATCCTGTGACATGCCAGGGCATCTTGTGTTCAGCCCAGACAGACTTGAAGAAGAAGAAGAGATTGGATTTATACTCCACCCTTCACTACCCGAAGGTGTCTCAGAGCGGCTGACAAACTCCTTTCCCTTCCCCTCCCCACAACAGACAACACCCTGTGAGGTCGGTGGGGCTGAGAGAGCTCTTGACAGAAACTGCTTTCCCCCCCCCCAAGAACAGCTCTTATCAGAACTACGGCTTGCCCCAGGTCATCCAGCCAGGTGCAAATGGAGGAGGAGTGGGGAACCAAACCCGGTCCTCCCAGATCAGAGTCCGTGCACTTAACCACTACCCCAAACTGGCTCTCGAGGCAGTAAACATCTGTAAGAACATAAGAGAAGCCCATGTTGGATCAGGCCAATGGCCCCTCCAGTCCAACACTCTGTGTCACACAGTGGCCAAAAATACCAGGGGCCATCAGGAGGTCCAGCAGCGGGGCCAGGACACTAGAAGCCCCTCCCACTGTTGCCCCCCCCAAGCACCAAGAATACAGAGCATCCCTTGCCCCAAACCGAGTGCTCCTATCTATACCTTGTGGCTAAGAGCCACTGATGGACCTCTGCTCCATATGAGAACATAAGAGAAGCCAATGTTGGATCAGGCCAATGGCCCCTCCAGTCCAACACTCTGTGTCACGCAGTGGCCAAAAATACCAGGGGCCATCAGGAGGCCCAGCAGCGGGGCCAGGACACTAGAAGCCCCTCCCACTGTTGCCCCCCCAAGCACCAAGAATACAGAGCATCCCTTGCCCCAGACTGAGAGTTCCTATCTGTACCTGGTGTCTAAGAGCCACTGATGGACCTCTGCTTCTTTCTGTATGGAGTTTTGATTTATAATAAATTATTTTTAGTTGAGTTCTTTTGCTGTCCCAGAGTTTGGCTTGCTTTATTCTGAGGGGGAAATTAATGGAAGCTGAACAACATCTGCCTTCTTTTTGGAACAGACCTCCCTCCCCCCCCCAATCAACTAACGTACGGGATGACTGAAGGCGGCAGCAGCAGCAGCAGCACACAGAAGGGGCGAGAACGAACAGGGAGTTCGGTCTGCAAAGCACAGCCTCTGTAGCCCACCAGGGCCACTGAACAAGCCCCGTTCGTGTCAGTGGCTCATGCAACAGAGAGTGGGGTGCCCTTATTTATTTATTTATTTATTAGGCATTTTTGCCCCGCCCTCCCCGCGAGCGGGCTCAGGGCGGCTTACAAGGGGCATGAGCCCATACATAAAACCAGATAAAACAGTAAAATCATGAATACTAATAACAATAATAAAGTGCTTTCTGTAAACAAGGCAGTCTGGAGTGGTTTTGATGGCGTCCTCAATCCTCCCCATTGGGGTGGCACTGTCCAGCAGATAGTTCGAGCCAATCCCACACTGTCAGTGCTATGCAATTTATGGCGGAACTTCCAAGGGCGATTCCTAATCCCGATGGTATCACCACCATTGGTGGTGGTGGCGGCAGCGGCCCCTATGCGAAAGCCTGGCGGAAGAGCTCCGTCTTGCAGGCCCTGCGGAACTGCATAAGGTCCCTTATCTGGGCTGGGGGATGAAACCAACATTGGGAACAGCCAAGAGGAAAAGGCAGCATCCCATGATGTGGGCTAGTTGTCTCTTGATGCTTGCTTGGTGTCGTGGTTAAGTGCGCGGACTCTAATCTGGGAGAACCGGGCTTGATTCCCCACTCCTCCACTTGCACCTGCTGGATGACCTTGGGCAAGCCATAGTTCTGACAAGAGCTGTCCTTGGAAGGGCAGTTCTCTCAGAGCTCTCTCAGCCCCACCTACCTCACAGGCACTGCTCCTTCTAAGCTGTGGAGTCTTGTGAGCAGAAATCCTACTTTGTGAGCTACCGGCATTAAAGTTGTGAGCAAGCGGTTTGGCTACTGCATAAATTAGTTTGTTCTGGAGCCATCCTTCCTGAGCTAAGACAAAAATGTGTGAGCCGGAGGCTAAAAAACTGTGAGCTAATTCATACTAACTCAGCTTAGAGGGAACACTGGGGTGTCTGTTGTGGGGAGGGGAAGGGAAAGGAGTTTGTAAACCACTCCGAGAAGGGCGGGGTATAAATACAAACTCCTCCTCCTCGTCTTCTTCTTTTCCTCCTCCTCCTCCATAAGAACATAAGAGAAGCCAATGTTGGATCAGGCCAATGGCCCATCTAGTCCAACATGTCTTGATGTGCTTCGGTCTGTTTCTTGTACTCACAATGGGGGTGGGATCTTCAATGCAATAAAAGGGTGACCCCCCCTTTCCCCCTCCCTGCAGGTGAAACAGTCGTGCTCATCCTCACGAACAACAGTTTGCAGCCTGACTTAAACATGACACCCAAGAGGCTTCAGTGCTCAGCCTCGTGTGGACTGGCTTGCTCCCTGCACAAGGCTGTTATTTCCTGTTTATCCTATTTCTTGAAAACATTTATTAAGCTGCCTTTCTTCCTTTCAAGGTAGCTCACAGTCTAAACAAAACACGAAGAGTCCAGTAGAAAAAACAAGAGTCCAGGAGCACCTTAAAGGCTAACAAAATATGTGGCAGGCAGTGTTCCCTCTAAGCTTAGTTGATGTGAGCTAACTCACAGTTCTTTAAGCCTCCGGCTCACACATTTTTGTCTTAGCTCAGGAAGGATGTGGCTCCAGAGCCAACTAATGTATGCGGTAGCCAAATCGCCGGCTCACAACCTTAATGCCCGCAGCTCACAAAGTAGGATTTTTTGCTCACAAGACTCCACAGCTTAGAGGGAGCATTGGTGGGAGGGGATGAGTTTTCGTGAGTCACAGCTCATGTCTTCAGATACAGAACACTCTGTAGTGGTGCACGTGTGTCCCCCTCGCCATTCAAAAGAAAGAAGAAATGGGCGGATGTTTCCCATCACATGCCTACGGCCTAGCAGGCAGGCAGCAGGCATCATGCTGCTGGCGCGGGTCGCGCTCGGTGTGTGGAAGGGAAAACCTTGCAAGAGAATCGTGGCTCTTCGGGCGCTGCCTCTGAAGCTGGAAGGCTGTCTTGTCAGCGCCCTGTTTGTTTTCCACCGGAATGGCTGTTTGGGATGATCCTCTGGCTCGAGCGATGACGAAACATGTCCTCGCAGGGGAGGGGGGAGGGATGCGGCCGGGCCACCCCATGTGACAGCTGCCGTGCCACGCAGAGCGGCCTATGAGACGACGGAGCCTCCCTGGGAAGGTGAGCAGCTGGTGTTTTGCCCGGGGCTTAACTGCACATCTGCTCTGCAGGGACCCCGGTCGCACCCTGGCAACGACCACACCGCCAGTCCGAAGTGGGCGCAAACACAAGCACAGAGACACGCTTGCCGGGCCACAGGTGTCCTCAGTAGGGTCTGCCTAGGAAGGCGGCGGTGCCCCCCCCTCCTGCCCCCTTGGCCTCCTCCTCCTCCAAGCCATTCATCCACCGGCGGGGGTGGGGAGCAGAAACGGCCACCACCACCAGTGCTCCTGTCCGCAGCCCCTGGGGGTGGGGGGTCTGAGGCACACCTGCCTTTCTCCAGGAGGGACCCCCTCCCCCCCCCCCCCCCCCATAGCTAGTAAACCAAAACAGTCCAGTGGCACCTTTAAGACAGAGTTCTATAAAGGAACCAGCTCTGGCTTCTCTGTCAGGGCAGATCTGCTCATCCCCCCCCCCCCCAATGACCGTAAAAAAAAAAAAGCCCGTCGCC